CGGAAGGGTTGTTCGACATTATCATGGATACCTACGTTTTCTGCTCAACCACGTCATCCTTGGTGGTGACCGTAACTTTACCGTATGCAATGAAGTCAGAAACTGGACAAAACTCTCAACAACAACGATAAAGTTCTGAACAAAAATTCAGGAATATCGAGGTTTAATTACAACCGAGTTTTCGTAATGATAAGCCGAAATTCGGTTTCGAGTACATCCAACTTGCTATTTTCCACAATTTTTTTTGCAAAAAGCTAAGATGACAAGTCTAGCCTGTGAGAATGGTGGTCAGGGTCTTGCCACTTTTTCGACAAAAAGACAAATTAACATACCAGTAGTCTCTGATGCTCTCGTCCAGCTTGTTTCTTTCCACGTTTATTCGATCAGACAGAGTAACGCCGCTTCCACCGGACATTTTTCCACAAAAACTGCACTCTGGAAAGTGAACAATATGAAACTACAGAATCATAACTTACCAGTGCGTCACCTCTGCTTCGCAGAGGCTCGCACTTTTCCTACTTCATATGCCTTACTCATTCTCGACCAATGGTGGCAATGAAACTCACCGCGTAATGCCGATTATCGCGAATAAAATGCAAACAACTACCCATTCCAAATGCTTTTTCATGTAAGATCGGTGATTTCGCGTGGATGAAACTTTCCGCAGAAGAATAAATAGAAATTTGAATAGATTTTTGGACTCTTTCTGGCTTGGTAGTTGCCATAAGGACAATAGGAAACGTGAGCTATATCTCTATGCAAAATTTCTCTCAAATGCTTACATAAAACCATGGCAAATTGGCCATTTACGCAACCATACTTTTTGGCGTCGTTCTCGTAAAGTAGTAGACTTTTGTTCACTTTTTTGGATTAAAGTCCATGGCTTGCACATTAGCATGCCAAACACTTCCCACTTTGCAAAAAGTGGTGATACGGAACCAATTTTGCTGACCAGAACCCAAGTGGTTCCGTTTGACGCGCAGTTTCTGAGGGATCCACCCAACGAAACCATTCGTGCTTTTGCATAGTAGGTTCTTATGTTGATCGCATGCGATGTGCAAAATTTGGGCTCAGGACGTTGGCTGGAACTCGCTCTATGAATTTCGTTACAGACAGACGGACACACACACACACACACACACACACACACACACACACACACACACACACACACACACACACACACACACACACACACACACACACACACACACACACACACACACACACACACACACACACACACACACACACACACACACACACACACACACACACACACACACACACACACACACACACACACACACACACACACACACACACACACACACACACACACACACACACACACACACACACACACACACACACACACACACACACACACACACACACACACACACACACAAAGTCACGTAAACACCCTTAACCCGTTATTATAAGTTATGATAATAACGGGCTAAGGATGTTTACATGACTTTGTGTGTCTGTGTGTGAGCGTGTCTATTACGAAATTCGTGGAGCGTGTCCCAGCCAGCGTTCTAAGCCCAAATTTTGTATAGCGCATGCTACCTTCATGAAAGTCCAACATGCAAAAGCACGAGTAAATTCGTTGATCCCTCAGAAATTGCGCGCCAAACGGGTCCACCTGGCTTCTAAACCGCAAAATTCGGTCCGTATCACCACTTCTTGCGAAGTCGTGGACGAGTTTGGTAGGCAACTGTGCAAGCGATGGAGTTTAGCCCGAAAGTGGTCGAAAGTTTACTGCATAACGAAAACGGCGCCAAAAAGAATTGGTTGTGTAAATGGTCAATTGCCAAGGTTCTAGCTAAGAGCTTGAGAAGATTTTCGCACAGGGATGTAGCTCACGGCTACTATTACCTCTATGGCGACTACCAAGCCATGACAAATCCAAAAAACCTATTCAAATTTGCGTTTGTCTTCTCGCGAAAAGTTTCATCCACGCGAAATCACCGATCTCACGTGAAAAAACTTTCTAAATGAGTGGTTGTCTACATTTTATTCGGGTAGTCGGCATAGCGCGGTGAGTCCCAGTGCCACGATTTTACGAGAATGAGTAAGACACATAGATAGGAGAGCCAGTGCGAGCCTCTGCGAAGCAGAGGTGACGCACTGGTGACAAATAACGAACAAAGCCGAGACAGAAGAGAACATCTAAAAGGGGAAATGTCCACGATTCATGCAAGGAAAAGAACACATGTTACCAAACTGGAGCACAACGCTAAGTTCTGAGATAAAAACGCGCTCCAATGATAACGACCATATCGCAGCATTTAAGTTCTTCTCACAAACCCTGCAAATTTCCTAATCCTCTTTTTTATGATTTTCCCTTGTTTTCTTCTTATTGCGGCGGTCCCTCTCAAAGCTGTCTTTTCCGCGTTTCTCAGTTTTCATTGGTAGGGAGGAAGGGAGAAAATGTCACTTGAAATGAAGATATATCAAATGAAATCAACGACACCATGAAAAACAGGGAAAAGACAGCTTCGACAGAGACCGCCGCAATGAATAAAAACATCTATCTATCTTTTATCTCGGGACCTCCAATTTCGCAGGTGTTCTTTTCCTTGCATAAGTCGTAGACCTTTCCCCTTTAAGATGTATTTCTCTACTGCTTCGGTTTTTCTTGTTGTTTGCCATTCTGTAAGTGTTTCATATTGTTCAATTTCCAGAGGGTAATCCTTGTGGAGCAAAATGGCCGTTTTGCCACTTGACCAGAATGTCCGGTGGAAGCAGCGTTCCTCTGTCCCTTGTCTAAACATGGAAAAAATAAGCTGGACGAGAGCATCAGAGACCACCAATATGTTCATCAATTTTTTGGTCCAGGAAGTGGCAAGACATGGCCTGTTCTCGGCGCTATTGCTCAGTCTATTGAGAGTCCGTTGACCATGCTGGTCGAAATGTTATGCTTTGTAAACGTAATTGGGTGTTCACGATGGGTGTGCAATAGAAGGCTCAATCAGGAGTTTGTGTCCTCGACTCACTTTCGATGGATTCATATGACTATCCTTCTGACCTTGATGATTGCTAGAGTTGATTCATCCTAACTTTTTACAAAACAGCGCTAGTGAAAATAGCAAGTGAATGTACTCGAAACTGAATTTCGACTTGTCACTGCTGAAACTCGGCCGTAATTGACCCTCGAATTGAACTTCTTTTTGCAAGTCATTCCCTGAATTTACTTTGTCGTTGTTGTTGAGAGTTTTGTCCTAGTTTCTGACTTTATTGCTTATAGTAAAGCTACAGTTCATTCATAAAATCGTGTCGACGGATTTTGCTGCGGACTTTATGCCCGCAGAAGCATAAAATGCTCATACAAGAAGGCAACACCTCAACGTTGAGCTCACTCACTTTCAGTGTCTAAATATTATCATACGCAAGCAACACCACTTACTTAGAGATGAAAACTAAGAAAATGCGATTTACGATTTTGGCGTGCGTGTCGCGCGGTCGCGCCATCATCACGATTTTACAAGTGCCCTATGTCTAGCCGTTCATAATCTCGGACATATTGAATTTCTGTCTAATTTTGATTGCTGTTCGTTCGTTGTTCTAATCAAATAACAGAAATTTTTAAAGTAAACATTTGATCGATGATCCGTTCAGTACTTATATGAAGACAATGATATGTGGTGAATGGTACCATCACTAGACACAGAAGTGCTTAGACTTGACTTTGAAAGAATGCTTGGCACTGTTCTACTTTATATAGCCCAGAAATCTATGATCTCAGAATTTTGGTGAAACTCCACAAGGGGGTAGGGACTTATCTAATGAATTGAACACTATCATGTCAACTCCGCACGATAAGGTTTTTTTCAACTTTAATACCCCTTAAGCAAAATCTTTGTGCGTTGGGCTTATAGCAGCGCTTTTCGTTAATTGAACAAAATCACTCTTTCAACGCGTATCGATGTCAAAGTCGTAAACAGCTGTTGGAGTACCTCCCCTCCTCCCGAACGAAATCTACCACTACAGCAACCCTTCTCGAAAGGCCTTCTTTTAAAAATAAATATCCTCTTCGTTTAGCATGTCAATGCTTCCCACTATGTTGGCCTACAAGCCAGTATTTGAAATGTGAGCGAAGCTCAAGTCCCAAGTCGAAAACGCGCTCCAGTAATAACGGCCGTGTCTCAGCACTTAAGTCCTTCTTGCAAATTTGCAGTGTTCGTACCAACGAATTTCCGCTCTACACCCTGTCCTAATGGTTTCGCGCCGGGACCGTGATGTGTGTTAGGCTGTTGAAGTGTTACGTTCACGGCGCGGGGACGACGGGTTCGGAGGCCAATTTCTCTGCCGTGAGTGAATCTCGTACGCTGCAACTCGGGCAGTGGTTTAGTCAGTGGCTCCCCATCAGTTTCCAAGCAAGAAACCAAAGGGTCCAATTTGCCTGGACACTGCCTTTTAAGTCGCGACGCATACTGAGCCAAATATGAAGGGAGGCGGGCGATCCTCCACGATGCGGGATGGTGGTCGTTTGGTTCCGCCCAAACGGTAAGCGAAATCGTAAAGCGGGCGCCATTGAGGTTGCGCGCACCGGTTCAAGGGCTATTTTCTCGGCCTAGGGGGAACATCAACCAGCCACTGCGCCTGGAGGTTATAGTGGAATGACAAGGAACCCCACCATAGCAATATCCCCCATGGCGCGAATCTGCCGGGACACTGCCTTTGAAACTCCAATCTCTTGCTGTGGAAGTGTTTAAAACCGGGCAAAGCCCATTGGCTTGTTGGCTGTTTGAAGTCTGACGACTTTCGCTAGAAAACTGACCGAATATAAAAAATTTTTGACCTTGTTCCTTTCCAAGAATCTTTGGTTGCACTTCAATGCAGTCATAATCTCTAAAAGAGGATTGAAGATTGTATCGAAAAATCCTTGATTTTCAGGATGTGATACTCGTTTGAAAAGGTAGGAAAGCGGGATGACGATGCAATGTGATATTTTTTCAAAAAAGATATTACCTAATATCAGAACCATTCAGGAGTGATTTCGAAATTGATCCAGACTATCAATTTGCAAACGTGATTGGGTGGGACGAACTTTTGATCCCTTATTTGCAAGTGATTGACGAAATCGATAAAGCAGCCTTCAGTATTGAATATGGACGTGTTGCAATGAAGGATGAAACGTTTGACGACGTACACGATTATGCCGAAGTGAGCAAACTACAATCAATCGCTCTTTCAAAATCTAGGTGAACTTTTCAGTGGATGAGAGCGGATGTTACGAAAGTGGCCTGTGCCTTGAAACGCTGTATACTTAACAAAGCGCAGTATGCGACAATATGTTGCACTGATCAAAAGTAAGTGCATTCGATTTGAAATACAACTTTAAAAATATTTTTGAGTGAATGAACGCTTCAAAAATGTAAGCGGGTTATTGCCAAGCAAAAATATGATGCTTTTAGTTGTTTAAAGTCCTTCACAAAAAGTCTTTTCCAACAATCTTCTTCAGTAAGGGCTCAGTGACTGTCGCGCACTAAAACTAAAAAGTGAATAAGTCTCGCTGTTTTTTTCCTTCTTATATGAAGAAGGAAACAAAAAAAATACTTTTTGGTTCCCGTCTTTTGCCGCAGATGAAATTTACAGAAAATCAACAGGATTGATACTGACATTCGCAAATCAGAAATGCATTTCTCATCCATATACTAATGCTATTCATAGGATCGTTATCTCAGGAAGAAAGAAGAGAAGTCCGCGAAGCTCAGCCCGCAGAGCCTTTGTGCTATTGGAGCCTGATAGCTTCTATTGAGATCTGAATTCTCGATATTTGTGCCCTAGCTAGGGCCAGCACGAGGTGGCATATAAGATAACAGAAAAGAGTCACCCTTGATACTGCAGACAATTACAATATAATACATGATGTTAAGCTTTCCAAGATTGATAGTTCCTTCCTTTATTGCCAGTAACAGTTAACAATCAGTACGGTCTACGTTTCGGCGAAGATCGCCTTCTTCAAAACCTTCAACAATACTGTGTAGGATAAGTCCACCACTCTGACAACGTGTCAGACCACTACTCGCCGTTTAGTGTGATGGAACTAAATCAAATAATCTTAAATTAAATAATCTTAATCTTTAAGGAATTCAAGATTCCGTCACACTTAACGGCGAGTAGTAGTCTGACACGTTGTCAGAGTGGTGGACGTATCCTACACAGCACTGAAGGTCTTGAAGAAGGCGATCTTCGCCGAAACGTAGACCGTACTGAATGTTAACTGTTACTGGCAATAAAGGAAGGAACTATCAATCTTGGAAAGCTTAACATCATATATCGTAATTGACACTATGCCAAGATTCAGAAATAGTCGAACGTGGAATTACAATATAACTTTGTTGTGTTCATAGAATTTTTCTATGCAATGAAAAAAGCGGATTGAAATGAAGAAAAGGCAAGAATAAATCAAAGGTTGGAGAGGTAAATGCGAGAAAAGTTGTTTTTATATTATCAAGAGTCGTAACAAAGCCTAAGAAACGAAACTGGGGTTAAGGCAGTGTCCGGGCAAGATGGGGGTTTTGGGATTTTAGTGCCATGCGAGAGTGGCCCCCCTCAGACACAACATCGCGCAAGTGCGACGTCATAACGCTCAACCTAAAGCAAGAAAAACGACCGGAAAGTGGGGGGAAACTTACGCCTTGGGGCGGGGGCCTCCGAGCAGTCCGATTTCCTGCTATGCGGCAGAGTACGCATGCCGCCACAGTTGAAATGTAGGGTCCCGCAGCGACTCTGCGTCTGCCTTGGTGGGAATTTCAAATTGTACGGCTTTGGAAAACGTATGTTCTCGCCGTTTTCGCGCCTTTTAATGTGGATTTTTGGAGTCAGCGTTGCGGAGAACCCCGGTAAGTAAATTATTTGAAAAATCGAGTTTTTGCCCGGACAGTGCCTTTAACGCGGTAGGTTGCTTATCGTCCAAGTATGAAAACAGTGCAATCCCGGTCGCACAGCATGCCTTCCCTGCCGTGGAAATTGCTCTAAAACTTACACGCGCAAGCCAATCTCACACGCACCCGAACGAGTTGGCAATTTCCTTCTCATCGTTGGAGGTTGCCCGCCGCAATGCTATAACCATTGGTTGCCGTAAGGATTCAGCGTCATCAGCCTCGCTTCATTCGACCAAATTCAAAGCAAAGGGCATTGAACGCTCATTTTCGCACTTTTCAAGCTCTCCAGAGTGAACTTTCGAGATCAGCGCATCAGATAGTCCCATGTAAGCGAAAATTTAAAATAGATTGAAATTTGCCGAGTCACTCCCTTCAAGGTGAGTTCTCATAGGTCGAGCTTGGCCTTAATAACAACTAGTTGGCAAACCCGGCTCCGCTCGGCCCTGTCATTATTATATTCGTAATCAGCATGCTCGATTACCCCCCTTGCCAACTCCCAGCCCCGTAGCTCAAATTTTGCAAAAAAATCGATAAAATCGATATCGATCGATAACGAAAAGTAGCCTATGACACCCGCCCGGTCCCAAAGTGTACGTGTGCAAAGTTTGATCCGAATCGGTTCAGAAATGGAATTTTCTATTCGGAACATACGTACAAATATACAGACAGACATGCAGACAGACAAACAGACATTCAACTTTATATATAAGATTCATGTGAGAGAGGAAGGAAGCCATGAAAATTCATGACTTTGTCTGGTCCTGCGCAATCCTGAGGTTCGAAAAACACTTAAACTCCTCTCATGCACATAATTATTCTATAAATCTTCGCACTTTTCCTGATCGTGTTGCGGATGTACACACTAAATTTGGTGGCCTAGTATTGCTTACTCGTTATAAACAAACCAATGTTTATATCCTTGTGCGTAAAGATTGTTTTGACACGTTATCGTGTGCATGCAGGTTTATGCCTGTCGTGTTTGTAATGTGTTAATTTAGCTGTAACTAGTAAAATTAGGTTAGACCTTCAACGGGCTTCCTAAGCGTCAGAGTTGCGCTTTCTAACACTTCTCATTTTTCCGTGAGGAATTTACGGGTTTCCCTCCGTTTCTCTCAAAAAAGGGCATCCAGCGTCTAAAAGCGCCACTTCTGGTATGTGGTCTTAGCTAACAGTAAGAGGAAAAATTCTTGAAAGAAGTCTTTATATGTGCTGTACATTGTAAAAATGCATGTGTCGATTATGAAGAACCTGTGAAGTGGAAGAGCATGTGCGAAGTGAAATAGCCACTTTTGAGAGAGCTCTTCTACTTCACACAAGCTCTTCCCTTCACGGGTTTTTCATAATCGAACATGCTAGAGCAGAGCTCGGCACGAGGTGACTCTGGCAATTATCGAACGAAGTCCCCGTTCACTTCACAAGAAAGTGACATACCCTATGACACGCACATGAATGAATCAAACAACGATAACGAATAAGAGAAGAACAAAGACAAAAAACATTGAGTTGAATCTGTACTTTATTTATTTACGTTATTCTAAGGAATTGAAGGCTCATCATGCTTGACCAAGCACCAGACCAAGCATTTTCCCATGGTCACGTAAAGGAGGGCGGTAAAGCTCATTTTCACCCCAGGATCACGAGGAGGTTTCAACGTGGATGTCCCAGGGTAAGTTTCATAACATGTAAGTGGGGGGAAGAGGGGGGCTTGCAGTGCAGGTGAACAATAGCTTGGGCTGGACCGGGAAAGCCAACTAGTAGACGATAAAAATCGGAAGGGATCGTATCCTCCAAACCGGCAACATACCGTATCAGTCGCTCACCATCGCGCGCATAGAGCAGGTTTGCCGCCGATGTTCAAGGTTTTTGAAGAACTGGAACTAGGCCGAGAGAAGTGGAGTTTGGCGACTTCGTACACTAACTTGTAATGTTTTGGATGCAATTAGAGCTTTGTAAAAAATTAAAAAATCATATAAAGAGGAACAAATCTATGACTTTCTTCTCCCTAACACTTCGAACTTGAAAGCCACCTTACAACGAAAAATGCCATACCTCCAGTTCACATAAATTTTTCATAGTTTTCATACATAGGTCTAACTCCCTAATGCAAATCTACACACAATCTTGGTATCATATCGTTTCCTCTTCGCTGTGGGCAAGCATTTTGTCTACTTCGCGGATTTTTTGATTACCGCGCTTGCTCGGAGAGCATACTAGCTGCAATTTGTTGTTGAGTGGGATAAATAAGGCAGTGACAGAGAAAAGAAGACGGAATAAAAGTGAGGAAGGAGGTAGTAGGGGAGGATGAGAGGTGAAAAATGGAAGTGCTATATGTATAATTTGTGTGACGATAGCGATGGGGTAAAATTTTTTTTGTCAGAGAGAGGACTGTGAATATTTGGGTTGATGGGCGTAAAGTTGGCCAACTCTTCGGAGGTTTTTTCGGTTAACTTCATATTGAAATCCCATTTTAGCTGCCTTGCCTATTCAGAAAATTTGAATTTTTTTGCAAATCTCAAAAGTCACGATTTTGAACAGAAAGATAGGTTATTTTCTCATGAGCGCTTTTGGAACTCCGCAAAAACGATATTCTCTTTGCTTTTCATCTCAAAATGAAACCTCAGCCTGCTTCTAAGCCACCTGTGCCGACGCCTGTGTTAGAGTAGTAGCTGCCACTCCAAATCACAAATTGTCAACGCACCTTTTATTTATACAATCTTTTATTCAACATCGAATTTCACTCTTGCCTCCTTCAGAGCGGAAACACAACGAATTTGATGCCATAAAGTGCGCCAAAAAAATCTAGTGGCACTAATCAGTGTGGAAAATCTTCAACATAGGCGCTCTGCAGCTCCATTCACATAATCCTTCACATTATTTAGCACTAGCTGGCATGCTCGACCAGGGCTCAGCACGAGGTGTAGATGAAAATGCAAAAAACGAAATCCCCTTTGATTTTTGGGAATTTTTACGAAGTCCCCTTCGACCCTATACCATATTCCCCAAAAATTCTCCAAAAAACGAAACGTCGATTTAGAGAAAACGTCGCCAATTTTGCGTGCCTTCGTCCACAAAAACGAAACCCCCTTTGCTTTTCGTCCCAAAAACGATATCCAGCTTGCTTGTAAGCCACCTGCGCCGAGCCCTGTGCCCGACTTCGCCCGCATCGGGAACTTACTGGCTCAACAAAGAGCAAGATTGGCGCACAACATTCGAGGCTCAACTTGCTGAGTTTCCTCCTTCTTCTACTTCTCGCACAGAGCAGGTGCCCCCATCGCATCTTGATCTAGCGCACCTCACTATTGTGGAATAGAAATGAGTTCTACCGCTATTGTTTACAAAAAGTTGGATGTGGCTTGATAGTAAATGATGATAAGTGTTCTTTTTCTTCAGAACCGGCAAATCAATAGAAAGTGTGCGAATTT